GAAATGTTTGCATGCATTGCACTGCTGGCGGTTCTTGATACAATACAAACATTGCAGATGACTGCAGACTGCATGTACATTTTTGTTTCTGTTTTGTGGCAGCCGTCTTTTTGGCCGAAGCACGCCCGATCAGGGACAGACCACTCCGCTCCCCATCCAATCTCGCTCCAAACACAACCAACCCCCCCCGGCCACCTCACTAACCCACTCCACCCCCCTCCCAACAGCGCAGCAACTCCTACGTGCCCCCCACCCCCCGCCGGCGGCACCTCCAATCCCTACGAGATCTGGCACCCGGACCCGTCCAACGAGCGGCCCGTGATCCCCACCCGCTACCCAGCCCCCTCCTACCCCGGTGGCAGCACCGCCGCCGGTGCGCCCGCCCGCAACCAACATCTACGCCCAGCCCGTCCGCCAGCCGTCGGCGAATGTCTATGTGCAGCAGCCGCCGGTTATTCCGGGACAGCAGCCGCCGTATTACCCGCCGCAGCAGGGGCCGGGGTATCCTTATCGGTAGATGATGACGATGGGTGGGATGGGTGGTTGGAGGAGGGGTGGAATGAAGATGAGGATGATGGGTTTCATGGGTGCTTGGGTTGTGTGTGTTTGTTGGTTTGTTTGGTGGAAGTTGTGGTGAGGGAGGTTGTGGAGGTGTTGATGCGGGAGGGTAAGCAGTTGGTGTTGAGGTGGGTTACGGTGGGCAGGACCCGCGTAAGGAGAGTATGTAGACAGCTGGGGATAAAGTGATAAGGCGCAAATATATGGTGTTAAGGCTCAGTGAAACTCAAAATCTTCGTGTGGTATAAATTACAAATGGCATCATGGCACTGGGGGATCTACTTCATGTGCTTCCCCAGCGGTGCGCCACATCCTCTTCCGAGTCCAGCTCCACTTTTACATCCACCCACCCCTCGGAGTCGTCATCAGGCTTCTCCTCGCCCAGCGTGCGTCTGGGTCCCTGAGTTATTTGTGACGTTACTTCTGACCATTCGTCCTCGGACGCCCAGAGACCGTCATCTGCCTCCGGGACGGGTGTTTGTAAATTAGAGGGCACAAACAAGCTGTTGAAGAAGTTGGCATAAAAACCGGTGTGTTGAGGGATGTCGACGGTGGGTCGGTCCGGCGTGTTTACCTTCACGTAAGATTGCTCTTGGGCATCGGTATGCGGGTCTTCGGTTCCTACTGTTGGCTCTTTCGCATCACCCGCGGAAACGCCTATTCTCGTTGGTCAGATGCCCTAGGTAGTTTGAAGGGTTTGGAACTGGGTCCTACCTTTACTTAAGCCGGCATTTCGTGACGAATTCGACTGCTGCAGTCCCCGCCCTGCAGTTGCGTCGGCTCTGTTAGTTCTGTCAACCCCTTCACCACAAGTTCGGCGGCGATCAACCAGAGTATTATCCGCTACACTCCTCGCAAATCTTTCCACCCGTTTCTGTTCAGCCTGTCTCAGTAAGGCTTCTATTCATCGAGTTAGCTAGCTCGTACTTTGTATGCCATCGTTTGCGAATTTACCTACGCTGTAAAAAGTCCATGACCATGCTATGGTATTCCCGCTCAAGCTGGGCGTCCTTGTCGCGCTTGTTCCTCGCAGCCTTAAACCCGGCCTCCCTGCATGGTTTCTTGACGATGTCGACCAGTTCTTCAAGAGAGTGTGTCCTGAGACCCTCATCGATCGCTCCGCTTACTACTCGGCGGACTTCGATCCAAGGAGGGAGGTGACCTTTCCCATGCCACATCTTGCATTCTAGTGAGAGTATCTTACCGTTAGGAATGATGATTGTATCTGTGAGCTACCACGACTTACTCTGAAGTGGCCAGTTAATGATCTCGGGGATTGGACTTGATATGGGAGCTGCTGAGTCTGTCAGCGTGGTGACAAATGCGAGCAATGAGCCACCGTGACGCAGAAAGATAATAGGAAAACTCAAGAACCATTACTCACTGAGTCTCTGACCCCCCGTTTTGGGTTCCGAAGCCATTGTTGACAGGGCGATGGATTCAAAATAGTATTGATGACCAAGGGATATTGCAAAAGATGGACTTCAAGTGCAAGTAGAAAATTGATCGAGGAAGAGAGGGGAGGTATTGACTTATATACAGTATGCAGGTTACTTTGAACCAACTTTGCAAACCGCAAGTGGCATGTGCAACGCTATGAAGTAAAGGGACAAGCTGGCAGAAGTGAATCACTTATGGTACATACCGAGAGACTGTTGTAACCACCGCCAGCCTCCATTAATAGTGGTTCAGAACTATCCTGTGCTTCATTTTGGCTGTGCTGGCAGCTGGTGCAGGTAATCATGTACTGACGGCATAGTACACTGTACTGCTGGCGCAGCTTGTTGCCCACGCATGGTTAAGGGCTTTTGCTCGTTGTCGTTCCACTTGGCAGCCCTTTGTCAATTTGAGATCCAAGGACGCCAAAACAGTCTTCATACCTAGGGTTAGGGTATTTGCCCCTTTTTGCAGCTTTGCCAACCACCAACAAATCATTGATCCGCTTGGCCCGGACGGTAATCGGAACTTGCCAAGCCGCAGGCCTCGTATTTGAGCCAACAGAGGCACGTGTTTCATGATGGGCCCTGTTCCATCTCGACCCCTCCCCCGCAGCAAGGTCGCAAGCTCAAAATACCCTTCTGTTTGAGCTCGCTGACCATCTCCACCTCACGATCTCATCAAAAATATCTGAAAATCATAAACATACCAGCGGAATATAACATCATGGTAAGCTCCTTACAGAAATGAATAAAATCATCCAAAGCAACCCAAATTCCATCTTTTCTGCCTGTCGGCATCAAGCAATCGATGACTGACTTTCTGCTGCCTTGACTTTAGGCCTCACACAAGCTGTCAGCGGACCAGATTGCCCAGTACAGGGAGGTTTTCCAGATATTTGTACGTTGGTTTCGATACTGAACTCAGGTCACGAGACCCGCTTCAACTGCGTGCACGACATGGCATGGCACCGTGACAATGGCTAACCCGTGTTTGTGTGGCTGTGCCGATGCAGGACAAGGATGCGACAGGTGAGCTTTCGCTGTCAAGTTTCTCGTTACCTTTACCGTGTTCATAACAGGGGTATTCCAGGTGATATCACCGCCGATGAACTTGGTGAGGTCATGCGCGAGCTGGGTCTAAACCCCAGCGACGCTGAGCTCCACGATCTCGTCAGCGAGGCCGACCTCAATAGCGATGGCGTCATCTCGTTTGATGGTAAGGACCTTGCCCTCCCCCACGTTCTCCAACACTGGTTCCTGACGGGTCCGCACTCAGAATTCCTAGCCCTCATGTCTCAATCGGTTAGGGAGCTGGACACGGAGCAGGAACTCTACAACGCGTTCAAGGTCTTCGATAAGGACGGCAGCGGCACCATCTCTAGCGACGAGCTGCGCAATGTGCTCAAGTCTCTCGGGGAGGACCTGACCGACGAGGAGGTCGACGAAATGATCAAGCTGGGCTGACCGCAACGGCGATGGCACCATTGACTGTAAGCGTTGGGCAGTCTCTTGCCGATGTTTGCATGCTGACTTTGTCGCAGACCGCGAGTTCGCCGAGATCATGAAATAGAGCGGCGTGACGGATTGGCAGGAGCATAGAGAAGTGTGGACGGTGCAAAACGTCAATAGGAGCGTTGGGTCGGTCTCTTTCAGTCCTTCTTTTCCTTGCGTGGCTCACTCAGAACCCCTACTCGATCTTGACCACCTGGTAGTTGAAGTTACAGATACCCCCAACATCCTGCATCCGATCCGTGACTGCCATCTTCCCCTTGCCCTCCCCGATAACCTTCCCATCCTCCCCCACCAACTGCACCACCTGCTCCCCCTTCTTCACGTCCACCTGGTGCATATTCATCCCCACCTTGCCCTCAAACTCACCCACCACACTCCCCCCACTCAACACCCTAATACTCACCCCGCGACTCTCCTCCCCCAACATAACCACCACATTCACCGCATCATCATCCGCCTCCAACCCCCCCGGCGCCCCCAACCCCAACCTATCCCCCCAACACTCCGCGCCCTTCAACAAAGGCCTATACCAAAACGCCCCCTCAAACCCGCTCTGTCCGTGCACCACCACCGTTCAGATGAACTGCGTGCAGCTCCTTATAGGACGCAAAATGCAGATGACGGCGGACTTCGTGACGGTTTTCGAGACCAGTCAAAAAGGGAATAACGCTCACAATTCTACATGTGAGAACTCGACACCTATGCGTTATTAATGACATGGTTCATGTAAGGGTATTCGCTGGCGGATTTTTTCATGCAGAAAAAAAGGGGTTCGACCCGTACACGCAAGGCCATGGTATTTTTGATCTTAAGGTACCCTGGAGTACCCCACAGGCCCACTCCTTTTTTGCTTCACCTATGACTAGCCATACAGTAAGCTTACCTAACTATCCGGCTCCTTCGGTCCCCCAAATGAACCTCTCTCTTCCCTTCATTACCCAACGAGCCCTCC